GTCTTGGCTGGCTATGAGAAGCCGATCGTCTGTCAGGACTTCATCCTGGGAGGAAGGGTGGACCTGGGCGTCGTCCCTCTGTCTGATCTGGGGAGCTGGTATTTGTCGTCCAAGGCAAAAGAAAGCCTGATGTTAGCCGATCGTCGTCGGCCACTTCATTCTTTCGTACTTAAGTTTTGTAACTATTCTTTACATATGTTTTTCAGTTTGTATTTCCCGGCCAATAGTGCCGAGGGATAAAATCATTCTTTGCTCCGTGCTCTTCTGGCATCTCTTTTTTTTTTTTTTGGAGTCTTTTAATCTTCGTTCGTCATTGGTCCTTGGTCCTACCGGCGTTCTTACATCGAAGAGACGTCCGGTATCCGCGGACATCGCAATGAGGAACAGGTATATCTACATCGAGATTCCCCCTTTTTCGTTCGTCCGTGGTCCTTTTAGTCTTACCGGCGTCTCTTGCTTCGAAGAAGACGTTCGGTACCCAAGGAACTCGCAGGGACGAACAGGTTTACCCTCACGGGTTCCCGACTTTGTTATCCCACGTCCATCGATCCATGGTCGTTGTGGGATAAACAGGTTTATCTTGGCAAAGCTCCCTTGGTTCGTCTAGCCCCCTCCGCGTCTCTACTAACCTCTACATCGAGAGGCGTTCGTCTTCGGCGGTGGGAGAAGATCTGGCACGCCCGGGCAAGATTCCCTTCCACATAGGAGCTACCCTCCTCTTCTCCCCATCTTTTTTTTTTTTTTTTTTTTATTTTTATATTTTTTTTTTGTGTTTGAGGGAGGCAATCTAAATTCTTCGTTCGTCCTTGGTTCTTGGTCCTACCGGCGCTCTTGCTTCGAAGAGACGTTCGGTATCCGCGAAACTCACAAGGAGGAACAGGTTTATCTACATCGAGATTCCCTAGCTCTTCTTTGTCCGTCCCTGGTCCGTGGTCCTACCGATCTTCCTACATCGAAGAAGACATTCGGTATCCAAGAAAACTCGCAGGGATCACGGGATGTCACACATAATGGTGGTGGCATAGCGAACGAATATAATGACGAGGCGATAGAATAGCTGATCGTCATGCGAAGGCCCTGGTCACCCTCCTGGAGGGGAGTCGTGAGCCCGATCGCAAACTCAAGAGGGTCGGCATTGGGAGCCGACAAACAATGATCATAATGCCGCTGAGCAGTCGGTCCTGATAAGGAGATGACAATAGTGTCCGATCAGGCCGATATATCCAAGCAACGGCTCTCATCCACGCAGCGCGGGGATGAAACCGGTCTTCAAAAGATAATATGTCGTGCCGAGAGGCCGAACATAACATGATAGTGTCGGCGGTGAGAGGCCGACCTGAAAGAATCAAACAACGGTCCTCGTCCGCGATGTGGCGGGGACGAGGCCGGTCTTCAAAAGATAAGCACGCCGAGCCGAGAGGCCGGTCGTGGTATGATGATGTCGGCGATGAGAGGCCGAGCATGATGTGATAGTGTCGGCACTGAGGGGCCGACCTGCAATCCAGCAACGGCTCTCATCCGCGCAGTGCGGGGATGAGGCCGGTCTTCAAAAGATAAACACGCCGAGCCGAGAGGCCGGTCATGATATAATGATGTCGGCAACGGGAGACCGATCTGAAATCAAGCAACGGTCCTCATCCGCGCATCGCGGGGACGAGGCCGGTCTTCAAATAAGATAATCACGCCGTGCCGAGAGGCCGGTCGTGATATAATGATGTCGACAATGAGAGGCCGACCTGAAATCCAAGCAACGGTCCTCATCCGCGCAGTGTGGGGACAAGGCCGGTCTTCAAAACGATAAGCACGCCGTGCCGAGAGGCCGGTCGTGATATAATGATGTCGGCAATGAGAGGCCGACCTAAAATCAAGCAACGGTCCTCATCCGCGCATCGCGGGGACGAGGCCGGTCTTCAAATAAGATAATCACGCCGTGCCGAGAGGCCGGTCGTGATATAATGATGTCGGCAATGATAGGCCGACCTGAAATCCAAGCAACGGTCCTCATCCGCGCAGTGTGGGGACAAGGCCGGTCTTCAAAACGATAAGCACGCCGTGCCTGTAACACTTGAGATTTAATATAAACGGATTAATAGTACTACTCATACCAACAGAGGTGCATCTCCTTTTAAGGGAGCTCATTACCTAAGAACTCCAAAGTTAAGCGTGCTTGCTCGGGAGTAGTCTTGGGATGGGTGACCCCCTGGGAAGTTTCTCAGGGCGCGCACGAGTGAGGACAAAGTGTGCGGTAAAGGCTAGTGGTGGTTTGTGAGGACAGTACTATTGGTCTGGAGTAACTACCTCGGGTCCGGTGGGGCCGGGGTGTTACAGGTGGTATCAGAGCAACCCTGCGACAGTGTGCTGATCCGTTGGATATCGGGCAGACACCTAGCAGGGGAAAAGTTTCTGGGATATGATTGAGATTGGTTTAAGGGCGCAACGAGGACGTTGCGATCCTAAGTGGGGGTGATTGTAACACTTGAGATTTAATATAAACGGATTAATAGTACTACTCATACCAACAGAGGTGCATCTCCTTTTAAGGGAGCTCATTACCTAAGAACTCCAAAGTTAAGCGTGCTTGCTCGGGAGTAGTCTTGGGATGGGTGACCCCCTGGGAAGTTTCTCAGGGCGCGCACGAGTGAGGACAAAGTGTGCGGTAAAGGCTAGTGGTGGTTTGTGAGGACAGTACTATTGGTCTGGAGTAACTACCTCGGGTCCGGTGGGGCCGGGGTGTTACAGTGCCGAGAGGCCGGTCGTGATATAATGATGTCGGCAATGAGAGGCCGACCAAAAATCAAGCAACGGTCCTCATCCGCGCATCGCGGGGACGAGGCCGGTCTTCAAAGGATAAACACGCCGTACCGTGAGGTCGGTGTGATGTAAGGATGGTCCCACGACCCTCGGCCGTAGTGGTCTCCTCTAGGCCACCGGCTCTGAATGATGGATGATCGTCTCACGGTCCTCCGCCGTGGTAGTCCACTCTAGACCCTCGGCCTCTAGGTGTTCTCTCCTAGGCCATCGGTCTCTGGGGTGGAGATGCTCGTCTCACGGTCCTCAGCCGCGATGGTCTCCTCTTTAGCTGGCCCTGAACGTCTTCAAGACTCGGGCCGAGCGTCTTTTAATCATTTCGCTCGAGCGCGTCGAGTGATTCCAGCTGCGCAATAAGCATGGTAACGGGCCGCACGGCCCGACAATAAATATGCACACATAACCATCTGCATGGCTTTCTCTTTAACATCCACGATTACCGGCCTATGGGTCATCGTGACCCTCGGCCCGGCTCATCGTGCGGGTTTAATGGACGTAACAGCTCGCGGCGGGGCCAATTAGCAGCCCGCCGAACGTCACATAGAGATATTCATCGCTCTGTGAGTTTCCAAACTCAGACCCAAGTTGGTCGCACTGCCCTTGAAAAAACGGGGTTGAGCGCTTCGGTGCCCTCGGGCCCCACAGGTCGCGTTTGGCACAGTCACTTCGCGCCTAATGGCGTAGATGGTGTTGGGGTACGATCATCGATCGGGCACGTAGTGCCGTGCGGACTAACGTGCAACCCTCAAAATAAAATGCGTCGTCGGGGCATCGCCCTTCTGGAGACGCTCGGATCACTTAATCAAAGCTGATCGAGAGTGGGCCAACGGCCCCACAAACAATTAAAGCCACGACGAGCCGCGGGTGACTCTGCCGGCGGCGGCATTCTTCCTAGAAACGGAGCGGTGAGACCCAGGCCAGGACGCGGCAGCGAGCTTCGCCTGGTGCAGATGGACTCACCGGGGGGCCCACGGCGGTGGGAGTGACGGCGGTTCCGGCGGTCCCAATCCAGATCTAAAAAACGAGAAATCAGATTTGTAATTCCAGAATCCGTAGCTTCTTTGCTTCCTCCTTCCCCAGAACTATTTCTTTCTTTCTTCTTGCTAAAAACAGTCCACTTCGAGTGAATTTTTCTTGTAAAAAACTCAAGAACAATAGAACACATGAATCTTTTTGGACAGATTCCCACAGACGGCGCCAGTGTTGAGTTTAATCCAACACGATATAGTAAATATATGTATAAATGTGTATGAACAACTCAGTTTTTACGTGGAAACCCGAAAGGGAGAAAACCACGGGACTTTTTAGGCTAATATCCAAGCCCTCTCGTTCTCATTAGGACTCTCCTCACCATTACATAGTACAATTTGAGCTCCCATTAATGGAGTCTTGCAAGCTATTCTAGAGAAAGTAAATGAGTTGGGGAAGAAGGAAAGAGATCCTTTACATGGAGGGAAAACCTCCTATAAATAGGGGAAGGGGAGAAGGGGCTCTCCACCCTAATGGGCCAAACGGGCCGATGTCGGGCCTAATGGCCAAAGTGGGCCAGAATGGGCCGAAATGGACCTAGCTGCTCGGGCTCCGTACTGGATAATGTCTTGGGCTCCTGAACAGTAATAGGCCGGGATAATATATCCCAACAATCATCTTATACGAATTCAAATCACGAACCGAGTATAAATTATTTGATTCGTTAACAACCATATGTAAAACAATAGAATCTTGAAGGGAGTGCCCCGGTAACGAACTAGTCATAAACCGGTTCTGGGCCGACCAACCCGGGGCCCGGCCTGACACTATTTGGAACCAATCCGGCCCGATAACCGGGCCAGAGACCGGTCCGGGTCGGTCGGCCCGGGGCCCCAGGGGTATAGGGTAGGCTCGGGTCAGCCATAATAGGAACCATCCCAATTCAGGCCTTTTTTTTCAATTTTTTTTTGTTTTTCACTTTTTCCCGGGTGGGGCAGAGTGATTTTTTTTTTGGGGGGGGAGGGGGGGACGTGGGGGGAGAGGTGGGTTAATTAGAAAAGCAAAAAAAAATGAACCAGCCCGAGGCCTAGCCCGGACCCGGTGGAAAACTGAGCCGGTTCCAGGCCTCAAAGTTGGGATTAATATTGGAAGATGGCTAAAGGTTGAGATTATTAATGTGAATTTTTCCTATTTTAAACAAGAGAAAACAAATTGAACAATATAATTTTTACTAAAGAGCATAAAATAAGAAATACCAAATTGAAATTCTGTGGTATTTTAACATGTCCATAAATGCTTCTGAGTATCAAGACAAACAATTTAATAATTTAGTTTTAAACACAGAAAGGAAAGGTCGGGTAGAATGCATGTCTATAACAAGTCTTTGCATGCAACATCACCATCTAGAACGCACTAACTTGAAATCTTTGACCATAAACATACATTCATTATTTTTCCTTTCCAAGATCAAGAAGCTCTAAATATTTTCATTACATTTGGGCATTCTTCTTTCACCGTTTGGGATGTTCTTGATGAACGGAAGGAATGTAACGTTGTTCATGTAAGGTTGCAACACTTCGGGGACCTCCACCCCGTCTTTCCTTTGGTAATTCTCTAATATACAACAAATAGTCCTTTGTGTTGCTGTTAGAGTAGAGTTCAATAAATGAACATATTGTCCCTGTGTTATAAACAGTATAAAAAACAAATGTAAGAGGACAAAAAAATTAGGTATTATACATATTGGCAGCCTTATCTACTCACATGAAACAACAAGAGGAAAGAAAGAGAACCCACCCTTTTGTGCCCGTACTGAATTTTCAATCTTCTGGATTGGTAGTCAGTGCAGTTTGAGCACGAAACAAGTTCTCTGTATGTTGCAGAAGCAGGGAACCATCCCTCCAAATCATACTTTTTTGCAGCAGCAGCATTTAATGCGCCCGACACAACGGAAACAACACGATAGGGGATCTTTAGCTGAAACAAAAATGATAGATAGTTTCAGATTCATTTTCATCATGATGAATTATTGATGACTAGACTATTTATCGTCAAATTAATGGTTTATTGTTCTCTTTTTTACTTGCATATTAATATTTTTAGAACAATTTTTATATTGATGAAAGATTTCTCAAACTCGTGTTGTGCCTTTTACAACTGTTAGGTGGTGGAGATCTGATCCACTCAAATGGTGAAGGAAATATGTTCGGTTGCTTGGGACAAAAAATTGTCCACTTGCTTGGGGCCAAAGCTAGGTTACTTGGGGCCGAAGCTAGATTGCTTGGGACCAAAGAAAGCCTGTTCTCTTCTATTTTCTGTTTTCCGCTACTGTACGTGGGTTACTGTTACGCGCCATTGTACTGGGAGGATCGGTTCCTCAGATTTTATCAATTGAACACTGAATTTCTGCTGCTTCGATCAACATTGCAGCCATAAAAAATGGAGGAGCACAGGGAACATCAACGGTCAGAGAAAAAGGTGGCTACCTCTGGTTTGCGCGCTAACATGGAGAAGCGCCTGTCTACGCAAGGCGGAAAGGAACTGCGCAGGCAGTCCGACCAGTATGCTTCGCACGGAAAAGTGGAGAAGCTCGCGAAAAAGGTTGAGTGAGGAAAAATGGAGAAGCGCTCGAACCTGGAGAAAGAGAAGCGCTCAAACCTCGAGAAGGAGAAGCGCTCAAACCTTGAGAAGGAGAAGCGCTCAAACCTGGAGAAGGAGAAGCGCTCAAACCTGGAGAAGGAGAAGCGCGGAAGAGCAAGGAAAAGGTAGAAAGTCATTGGGCGAAGGAGATGAGGACCTGGTTGGACGAGTTGCGGCAAGCTGCGGCAACAACGTTGCCGGCGAGGACGATCAAGGACTATGCATCATTGCATGAATTCAAAAGGCAAAGGTTTATCAGATTTGCTGAGTTTGCAGGTTTCACATAAGTCGCAAATCTCTTCTCCCAGTACTCCAGCTTCGTCACAAGCAGATACTCTCAGTTCGCAGGTATCCTAAGCCGCTATTAGTTCGCAGGACAAGGCTTCTTCGTTGTCAGTTTGTTCTCAGGTTTCCTCGCAAGTCGTTTCTCTGAATCTGGGGCAAACTACTCCTGGAGCGCCTAAGGGTGAAGGTACCAGTCAACGAAGCACTGAAGCACTCCCACCCAGCCTAAACTTTTTAGCGTTCATTGGTGATTGCATGAGGGCAGAATACTTACAGCAGCATATGGTTATATTGGTGGTCATGAAGGAAAAAGCATTTACAAATGGTATCTTCATGAGGGTGAAAATGAATCTGATTTAAAAATACCAGAAGCATCAGATCTTCTTCAATATCACTTAGCTAAGGATGCTACTGGTAAACTTCTATCATTTTGCACTCCAGTACTGGATGATGACCAGATTGGTGAGTCAAAAGTTGGCAAAGGTCAAGAAAGTGGTCGCCCAGGAACTTGGTTTAAAAAGGCGCGCCTGAGGCGCGCAAAGGCGCGAGGCGCCTCTGGGCGATGACTTCATCGCATCCAAACATCCCAGGCGCAGCAGATTCCATAAGGCGCGCCTTTTACCTCGCCTAGTGCCGCTTTTTGCGCCTCATTGAGGCGTCGCTTTTCACACCTTATGGAGAATATGTCCGCTGACCTTCCTTCAAGCCTTTGGCGATTCATCCTGCTCGCCTAGACTTCACTCCATCAACTCAAAGTCTCAAACCTTCCGCTTTTTCTGTCGCAGATCATTGCCGTTTTTATTTTTCTTTTTCTTCCGTTCTCTTGTTTCTTTTGTTCGGCTGGGTACGTTTCTTTCTTCTGTTCTGTTTGTCTTTCTTCCTCTTGTTTTTCTATTCTTTATATTTTTATTTGTTAAATAAAAAAAATAATTCAAATTATGTAAATATATAACCATATAACAATCTTCCCTAAGCTTATTAAAAAAACAATCTTCCCTAAACCCTAATACCAATCCGAATTTTATCAATTTTAAAAAATAATAAATCTGGTTTCTCAATCTGTGAATCTGATTGTTTAACTTTATACTCTTGATATTTTATAACAATTAGTCAATTATATATGACAGCTTGTTGTTATTAATAATCTTTATATACAAGTTTATTTTAAAATTTACTATTAATGGCTTAGGATTAGTAATAAGTATTAACAGTTTATTGTAAATATATTTACTATTAATAGAAGTATTTTTTAGAAAAGTGCTTCATGTAGAAGTTGTATAAATATATTTTACCAAAGATATGTGGTTTAGTTCAGTGAGGCGCGCGCCTCGTCGCCTTGCGCCTCACGCCTCGGGTAAATCGATGAATCGCCTCATGCCGCCTCGCGCCTTTTAAAACTAAGCCCAGGAACTCAGAGATTGCTTCCCTTACAAATAGTTGGTATCCCTTCAGATTCTTCCTATTTAATTTCACTGGCTGATGTTGGCTATTTCATATCTGTAATTGGTGAACCTTTTTGTCGTGTCTAAGCCCGGGGTGCTCCTGTTCTTTCAAAGCAAGTTCGACCTATCCTTCCAGGGCTACCAACTTGCCTTTTGCTCGAATCTGATGGATCTTTGTTTAAAGGGGACCGTGTTGGTTTCAAGGCTTCTTATACTGGCGGGAGATGGATGAATGTTCAGGTGAATTGTTTTAACTTTTAAGTGATGATGTTGAAAACTGGTGGGGAGACTGGTGGTGTCAAAGATAAAATCAGTTCTAATTACTTTCTGAATTTGACTATTGATGATGTTGAAAACTGGAGAGGAACTTATTTACACTCCTGTAAGAAAAGATGGGATGAAAGGAAGCCCCAAGCGTATCTGGTCTGGACCAGTAGAGCCTGGGGAACCAAGGGGAGTTGAATTAACATTTCCCGAATGCTATGAAGGCAAGGAGGTTATTCCTTAAAGAAGATTTTTAAGAGGTAAAGAAGGGACTGGAGAGCGTCCATGGTTTAGAACAAAGGATAAGATTCATGTAACCGCACTGCTAGATGCACCATATAGCTTAATCAACGCTCATACGGGTTGCAAGACTTTAATGTATACTCTGACCCTGGAAGACTGGAAACGTACTTGACTTTACTGCCTTCCAACGTACTTGAATATATAATAATTCTATCAAAAAGCAGACAAGAATCTGAGTTGGATGACAATGAATTAAAACTATATGCAGGAAATTCACTGAAAGCAATTGAGTGATTTAATTAACCTCGTGTGCAAAGAAAGAAAGAAAAAATATCACCCAAATCAGGGTGCAGATCTGAAATGAGTAACGGTAAATTGCTAGAATCTAGCAATCTTCATTTATTTTTGGGCTAGAAATGAGGTTAATTTTGTGCATTAATAGCCATCATTAAAAGCATAGTATTATAAAAAAAATCACTTCTAGCCATAAAGTAACACTCTGCATACTCTATAGTCACAGTATAAAGTAAATACAAGTGCAACCTCTTGGCTGCCTGGGCATAAAAAAGTAGCAAGAAAAACAAAAACTATAACAGAAGACATGAAAGTTCTCTGACCTTCTGGTAAAACTCCTCTGAGTTGTTGATCATCTGTTCATGCATTTCCCAAGAGTCGTTGCTGTTAGGGCTAGTTATACAAAATTGCTCAACTTTGTCAAACTGATGAACACGGAAAATCCCAAGGGTATCGCGTCCATGTGAGCCAGCTTCCTTACGGAAGCAAGATGATACCCCAACATATCTAACAACACCAACAATCCAGAGACAAATCAAGCCAGTCCAAGAAAAGGTACAAAAAAGTAAAAAGAACGATTTGTATTCATTAAAAAACTGGCAGTTGTAGAAATTTCCTTAGTACAATGTCCACAATGTAATCAATACCTTTCCGGCAGCTTTGACGGATCAATACAATCACCCATATGCATTGCACACAGGGGCTGTTCAGATGTCGCTGCGAGATATTTGGTATCTCCGTCACCGGTCACCTACATGAACAGGTAACTCAATCAATGTGATATCAAGTTCATCACATTAGAAAATGAAAAACGAAGAGACATTGGTTCCACCATAGAAAAAATTCAATCACTTGACAGAATAATCTTTAAGGTCTTTTTCCTTCAAAATCACATTGCAAGCACAAGATATTTGAAACATACCTGATATTTTAAAAACATCACAAATTTTGACCATGAACTTTTCAACGTCCAAGAAAATGTTTTGAAACATACCTGCTATGTCTTTAAATCGTTCACCTTTCAAATTTTACCTAATTTATACGTAGTATTTCCTTCATTTACCACTTTTTTTCTCATTGACATTTTGTTAGTTTTGGAATCACATTTGGTTTTATAATCAACACTTTCTTAGCCTTAATAAAGTTCTAGATCCCAAATAACTTTTCAAATTTACGAATAGTTAAAAACATTGCCTGACATAACATTTGGTTTTATTGTCCAATCAACATTGCCTGATATATTAAAAACATATATTAAATGCCTCGAGCTATATTAAATGGTAAAAGTAGAATATAATGTTGTTCTTCTTATTTAGTCTTTTTCTTTTTATTCAGGGGCTATGATAACGGAAGCACAATATTAGCTTAAGAGAAAATTAAAATATATTTCCTTTATTCTTTGTTTATGGGTTGTTTTTTTTTGGCACTATGACAGCAAGAAGAATTAAAATTGCAAAATTTTGTGTTCAATTATTTTCTTAACTTATTGGGTTAAGATCTTTTTGTGCTTGATTTTCCAGGTAAAAAGAGAATGCGGTTTAGGGATCAAGGGGAGCCGAAGATAATGTGGTGGAGGCTCGAGGGGAATCTCCAACAAACTTTTGCACGGAAAATGTTGGAGCAAGATGTATGATCCATTGATAATGACGCACATGTGGATGATGTGTGGTTATAAATGGAGTCCACCATTAATAAAGTGGCGAAAGAGATACTTGGAGAATCTAAAGGATGTCTCTTACCAAAAAAGTACACATCATGGTGGAATGATGAGGTGAAACAAGCAATAACGACCAAAAGAGAATGCTATAAGAAATTGGGCAAAAGTTGGAGCGAAGAGAACATAGAGGAGTACAAGGAGGCTAGAAGAAGAGCAAAGAAAGCTATAAAAGAAGCAAGAGGAAAAGTGAACAAGGAATTGTATGCAAAATTGGACTCTGAGGAAGGAGAAAAAGGTATTTACAGACTTGCTCGTCTTCGTGACCGTAGAACTCAAGATATCGGAAAAGTTAAGTGTGTGAAGTATGTCGATCAAAGGGTACTAATGGAGGACGAGGAAATAAAGGAGAGGTGGAGGTCATACTTTGATACCTTGTTCAACGGGAATAAAGCGCAAGGTATTGATGATCTTACTATACCCGAGTGTATGGTAAATCGGGATTTCGTGAGAAGGATCCAAATAACAAAAGTCAAAGAGGCTATGTGAAAGATGGGGCGGAAGAAAGCAGCAAGCCCAAATGGCATACCGATCGAGGCTTGGAGAAGTTTGAGAGACAAAGGCATTGAGTGGCTAACACGTTTCTTCAACACGATTTGGAGAAACAACAAAATGCCAATGAGTTGGCGAAAGGGTACTCTATTTCCCCTATTTAAAAATAAGGGTGATGTACACGAATGTGCCAACTATCGAGGGATTAAGCTTATGAGTCACACCATGAAACTTTGGGAGTGAGTGGTTGAGCAAAGACTTAGGAAAAGTGTGAAAATTTCGGAGAATCGGTTTGGTTTTATGCCTGGACGCTCAACAACTGAGGCCATTCACCTTCTTAGACAAGTTGTGGAGAAGTATAGAGGCACTAAAAAGGATCTGCATTTGGTGTTCATTGACTTGGAAAAGGCATATGATAGGGTACCTCGAGAAGTCCTTTGGTGGGCCTTAACTAGAAAAGGCATATCACGTAAGTATATCAGTATCATCATGGATATGTATGAGGCTTGTACTACGAGTGTCCGTACTAGTGTAGGGAGGACCGCAGAATTCCTTGTTACTATCGAAGTGCACCAAGGATCGACTCTGAGTCCTTTCTTATTCGTTATGGTCATGGATGAACTTACGAAGTCAATTCAAGAAGATATACCGTGGTGCATGATGTTTGCCGATGATATTGTATTGATTGATGAGACACAATCGGGTGTTAAAGCAAAGTTGGAAGTATGGCGACTAACATTGGAGACCAAGGAATTCAGACTGAGCCGAAGCAAGACCGAGTATATAGACTGCAAGTTTGGTGGAGGTAGAAGTAGTAGCAACAGTGGGATTACTCTTGATGGTAAGGAGATACCGGTGTGTGATATGTTTCGTTACTTGGGCTCCATAATTCAGAAGGATGGTGAATTAGACGGAGATGTATCTTTTAATCTTTACCTTTCTTATATTTTTATTCTTATATTTATTTATCTGTATCTTATTTGTTTTTCCTTTTTTTCTTCTTGTGTGTCTTCTATGTTTTGCATCGATATCATAGATCGATTCATGTTAGCCGACCCCAAAATCTTTTGGGATTGGCTTGGATGTTGTTGTTGTTGTATTGGGTTAAGATTTTTAATTGTTCTATTCTCAAACTAAAATTTTTAAACACCCTGACGGTGAGTAGATCAAATTTGTAACTTTTTTGTCTTTAATGTAAAACTTATGTATTCTCTTGGGCTAAATTTTCAAAACAAAATAATGGCAAAGATAATAAATTTCATTTTACATTTAGCTCTCCTGTTTCTTATCAAAAGTTGTATTTATTTTTTGATAATAAATACTCCATCCGTCCCCCTTATATTGTCCCGTTTTACCATTTCGGGAAATCCCACTAAAATTGTCCCATACCATATTTGGTAAAGTTTGTGTGACTCTAAATCATTCTTACTTTATTCTTACTTTATCAATTAATATCAACCACACATCCACGCAAACCCACATTTCTTAATAATCGTGTCACCCTCTTCCGTCCCAATATAAAAGGGACGGAGGTAGTAGTAGAGAAAAGTGGAGATGATCAACAACCGAAACAAAGAACAGAAGCATAAGGTTTAACGAAGACCAGTGTTTTGATTTTTATATCTAGAAAACTGTACAAACCTCGGTTTTGTTTTGTCACAACTGCAGATGGAGTACGTGTTGCATTGTTGCGTGTATGTCTCAAATACTCATGACATCCAAAAAAGTTGTGCATTTCAATGGATATTAAAGAATTGAAGAAGCATTTTTTGGAATATTTGTTCTTAAGAATAGTTCTGCAAAAGGTGACCTAGTGAAGGCATTTCATGATGAGGAAGCTGAGGAAGAAGCTGATAGTGATGATGACTCTGGAAGTTTACCAGTATTTATACTACTTTTGGAATATTTGTTCTTAAGAATACCTCTTTTGGGATATTTGTTCTTAAGAAATATGCAAATTTACCTTTCTACAACTTTTGATATTATGACTCCCAATTCTAAGATGTTTTTTATTGGACAAATAAGAAGTGGATTATTTCCATTTATATATTTCTTATTAACTTAATAACAAGTTAATGACGACACTAACCCAAGGGTCATTAGTGACACATAAGGAATGATTAGGTGTTCTTAAGAATTGTTTATGTTAAAGAATGCATTTGCAAATTTACCTTTTATTTACACCAATTTCAAGATTAGGACTCTCAATTCTTGAAGGTTGAACGATCTACAACGTAGCTAAATATTAAAAAGAAAGAAGTGATCGGATTGAAGGGTCTTATTGTTGATTCAGGGAGGCCTACTTCTCTCTTGGAATAAGTTATTGTAAAGATTTTTGTATTTTTTTGTAACAAGGCATTGGTTGGTTTGGAGATGTAATAAAAAGAAAGAACTGATCGGGAATGAAGGGTCTAATCTATGAGTCAGGGGTTATCATTGGAAATTATGAGCATTTTCCTGCGACATCCGGTTTTTACGTATGGACAGTTGTTAGTTGCAGTTTCATAGGTGACAATTCCGTCAGACTTGAAGTTCGTGATATGCGACGATAGAGACAATCAGGAATAGGCTTAGTGACTAGGGTTCCTCTTATTCTATTTCTACTGCTTCTTTTTGCCCTTTCTTGATAAGTGAATGGGAAAATCCCAATCTTTCCATCCCATAACACCTCCCCACTTTCTCCGATTTTAGGCCTCCCCACAACCACTAAAAACATGACCTTTGAAATAAACCTTTTACTCTGGACTGCCCTATACGGGCCTAGTTCTTCAGGTTTCATATAAAAATGTCCAACTTCATATGTTAAGTAGAACCATTTCTCATCTATGTGGATGTATTCATAGAAATCGTGAAATGTAGGGTTTGAAGGAATTGTACGAGGTATTAAATGACTTAAAGAAAATTTCATTCTTTTTCTCATACCTTGTTCTGTTAGGGATGTTTTAACAGCATTTGAGTGTCTTCTAATTGCTTTCTCTTTGACCAGTCTGTGAAGTGTGGACGTAGAAGCATTTAATTCTACTGCAAGAGACCTCAAAGTGCTTCTTCTCAGTGGTATGTCTTTTATTTTTTCCAGATTTAATTCACTTCTCTTTCTTCCAACATTTCCTTTGTACTTGGGCTGCATATCAACTTCTTTCCCAGCCTTAATTTGCTTCATAAATGTCAGCCATATACTGTAGACTGTTCATGTTGATATATTGAAAACAGTACTTGCTTCTTTGAGGATGCCTTTCTTGAGTTTTCCATTGACTTTATTAGCTAAAAGCATCTCCACCACTTTATGCCTCTCAAGTCCATGCAACACATTATGCTTCTTGGTTAAACTTGCCTCTTGAAAAATTACTAATGCTTCTTGATTTTCCACAGAGGGATCAAACCGAAACCGGAAGTGCAAGTTACTGGAAGGTGGGAGATGACCTTCGGCCATTTCATGAAGTAGCAAGTGCAGAAAAATAGGCTTAGGAGTTGGGAGATTGCAGGAGAGTGTTGGAAGCGTTTCCTATAGTTCTATATTTATAGAAGTAACCATTTTTGTAATATGGTGGGAAAAGTGAAATGTTTAAATTTCTTTTTTATTGTACCTTCAGATTCCCTCCATTTTGTAAAGGATACTCTGGATGAAAAGTGAAAATTGGGAGGAAATAAAGTGTTTCCCTCCACTTTGGGAAAGCACTTGAGTTTACGTACCATAGCAGTAGAGCAGACAACTTTTCTTTTGATTGAAATAATACAATTAAACCCTGTAGCAATTCTACTTTTTGTAGAAAAGTCATTTCTTACGCAGGGGATTTAGTCTGTAAGATTTTTGTACTTCTTTGTGGAAGGGTAAAATTGTAAAGCAAACTTTTATTTCTACTTCTCCTTAATTGTTGTGCCGGTCAAAATTTGCTATTCTTTTCGGGACAGCGGGAGCATAATATCTTTATTTTACATCCTGTGTGACACACAGGTGGAATACTAGTATTAAAAACATCACAAATTCACAAGAGCCATACCTTGTAAAGTTCCTCATCAAATTGAGATAGTTGAGCACATTTTGCCATGGCACCTTGCTTCATGAAGGCTGGAGTTTGAATCTGAGTGTATCCCCTCTCTTTCAAAAAACCACGGCCAAAATCAATTAGTGCATAGTTTAGATCAACACCAGCCCCTATCAGAAAGTAGCCCCTGCTTCCAGCAACGTCTGCACCTAGATGTGTTAAATAGAAGTAAATTGGCATAGAATGAGGAATGAGGAATGAATAAGACACTGGAATGATAACAAAAGTAATTTGTGTCACTACACAACGATTCGGAATAACTAATTTCATGTTCGGAAATTATTTTATGGATCTTCGATGGATGCTCCGGACAGGAAAAGTCAGTACCCTTGACCATATCCACAATTCCAAGAAGCTTGACAAGCTCAACATGGTTTTTTAGGCCTGATTCGGTTCTCCTTGCACCCCATTGACGAATGATAGCATTGTTTTCCTGGAAACTCATATGTTAAAATAAAGAAATAGAAAAGACTCTTAAAAAATAAGTCAAAGATGCTGACAGACCTCATTGTTGCTAACTGGAACTGTGTCATGCACAAGATTCCCAATAACCTCCAACCTTTTATTTAATGCAGCTTGGGCCTCCTGCATTTCTTCCTCTTTCTTGGCTGTCACTTTCTTGTTCTCTTCAGTACTGTTAATTAACTCACTTGCATCTTGTTTGGCCTGCTCCAAATAAAATTGCACAATTCAGTTCAAGTAGAGCCATGCAACAAGTCAACAACAACCAAGTCTTAATCAGTCCTCGCTACTTACAATCTTCAACTTGGCAACTTCTTTGTTGATCCTATTAAAATCTTTTCGCAAAGTATCCAGCTCGAATCGACCTGTATGAGTTTTATTTGAAGGAATAAATTTCATAGAATGAATTGAAAAGTAACTGGAGAGCAGGGGAAAAGGATTTTGCATACGTTGACGACACTCTTTATCCAGCTCAATGACCTCGTCTACTACATCGACATTATCAAATCGCCGTCGTTGAGATTCCCGGATAACTTCTGGGTTGAAGCCTTTGTCTTCTCGGAATAGATTTATGTCAAGCATTCTGATTCTTATTCCTTGTTCTGCAATCTATACAAAATTAAGGATTGCTAAAGTAGATTTGCGTTATAGTCTTCTTTGCTTCCCAAATATGTATCCCCGCCTAGAGAACGAAAGAGTAGTGAAACCAGTTGTGCTCTCCCTTATATATTGAACTTTAAAAAATCCCTATATACTCCCGATGTTTGATGGACCATAAAGATAACAAATCCATGTTCGTGATTTAATACAAACCTCCGTCCAGGACTTTGCACTTTTTAAGTTAGGTGAAAAATAAGAATAGTGAAAATTGTGTGGTTGAAGTTAGTGCAGAGGAGAGAGAAATGAGGAGAACCACAAACTAGTTACTTTAATGAGAGTGACAAAGTTTTTTGGGACAACCAAAAAGGGAAAGTTGGCAAAGTCCAATAGGACGGAGGGAGTAATTTTTAGCAAATAAAATTTACATAGTCAATAATTACAATAAAGTTTTATAAAGTAGCAAAAACAAAATTCAAATTTGATAAAAGTTAGATACACGAAATATAAAGTAAAAGATTAAGAATACTTTAAGATGACCGGTTGACTAACGAAGAGCGGACGGGAACCTTTGACTAGGACGGAGGTAGTATGCTTTTGATAAACATTAACAAAAAAAGATTCTTTTTTTCTTAAGGAAAAAATTAGTTTTTTTAAAGTAATAGATATGATTAAAAATTAGGATTGAGACATTCTATTGTAATAGATACGGCTAATCATCATTACCAGCACCTTAATAACAAGGAAATTCGTGGGGAAAGCAATCTTTAACCCGGATGCAGCAACCTGTGAAGGAATCATGAGATGAAATTCTAAAACCATTGCCATAATCGGTGATCAACTGAACAATACTTTTCGTTTGCAAATCAAATAAAAAATATACATCCCAATTAGTTATTATAAATAATACTATATGTAAACATAAAATTGAAACAAAAATATATCATGGCAAATACTTTTCTGAAATGTACCCATCTTCGATCAGTTATTTCTTACCACAAATCTAAACAAGTATCCATAAAAACAAAGCTCTAAGACACGGCTGGTCAGCGAATACTTACCTGTTCCGCCGTTTACGAATTAGGACAGTAGTACCGTAGAGTTTTTAGTTTTGTGTTGGTGTCTAGGTGGGCGTATTAGTAGTCGTAGGATGTCTTTTTCTAACTTTTTGTGGGTATGGTGTCATCTATTGTTAAACGTTTAGTCTCTGTCTATTTTATAAGTGTCCAAATCTGATCTGGTCTGGTCTGATTTGGTCTGTTACTGAAAACAGTCCGGAATAAAACATATTAAAGGATGTTTTCTAAGTGTTTTAGTAAGAGACAAATTGAGTTTACACCCTAATTTATTTAATTAATAGACTTTGCACCCTCTTTATTTAATTACAAATCTGATCTGGTATGGTCTGTATAAGTCTGGTCTGATTTGGTCTGTTACTGAAGACAGTCCTGAACAAAACATCATTAAAGGATGTTTTCTAAGTGTTTTAGTAAGAAACAATTTGAGTTTGCACCCTATTTTATTTAATTAATAGACTTTGCACCCTCTTTTTTTTTGAAAGTCTTTGCACCCTCTTTTGAAAACAATTAATGTATGCACCCTACTTTATTTAACAAAAAGACATTGTTTTTATGGGAATCAGTTTATTAGAAAAACACAGTTTCGCAAACACAGTTAATAAATAAATGGGAATCAGTTTTTATGGGAATCAGTTCATTGTACTATTTCTCAAAAACATTAAAGTTCACACCATTATAAATACAAATTTTGTCAAACATAGCCATTATATTATAATTATATCATATGAACGTTCAATTGGCCATCCAATTGTAGTGTTCAGTGTGTGTTAGTAACTACTTATGTCATTTATGCCATGTGTCTTACGAACTACTTATGTCATTTATATAGTATGTGTTTTAAGAATTGCTCCTCACTGTCAAACTTCAAGGATCAGCCTAGTGGTTTCGTTTCTTAATACTTTGCCCACAAATGTTTGCATTTGATTAGTATAATGCTATTATTATTTGCCTTTTCCCCCTAAAGAAGTTTAAATACACAACTTGAAAATCAATAAAAATTTAATTTGATTTAGTGGATGGACTTAATTGCTCTCCTGCCATGATTATAATGAAAGAACAAGTAATATTAGTAAAGTTACCAGAAACAACATTCATTTTAGGATGTGCTAAAATAACAAACAATACAAACAAATAATAAATAAAATGGTGGACAAATATAATATTCCAAGAAGTTATCATTTTTAGAGAGAATGTCCATTTCAAAAACTTCTAAATAGATAGGAGTAATCACCTACTACATTAAATCTATTTCAAGATGAACAAAAGTAATACTCTGTAATCAATTATACCAGAGATTAGATAAAGTTCAAACTGAAAACTAACTCCAACTGGTTTCAGAAACTATATTTCAAAGATTAGACGATATTATCATCTCGCTTAGAGATAATTACAATAAGAACCCATAATAGGAATAAATGAGAACCTATATGTTTTGAAGATGAAGAGATAGAACAAGATATATAGGTTCAATGTCAAAGCTTAGAACTTGGAAGGCTGGTAGAGTATATATCGTTTATTCATAATCATATTCAACATAGATAGAAATATACTTTAGCAAAAAAACAAACTAAAATCATTAAAAAATCAAATCAACCAAAATTTGTGAAAAAGTGAATGAAAAACGAAGTTACCTATGTAGAAGGCGAGCGGCAGAATAGTTGACGGCGAGCTGGAGAAGTTAACAACTAGCGGGAGTAGACGGCGGCGGCAACAGAGAGCACCGAGAGCGGTCGGGTACGGAATCTACAGAAGCGGACGGCAACACTCGACGGAGGCAAGAAAACTGTGGGCGATTTGACTCGGCCGCAGCAGCTAGCGCACGTCCCCGGCTGGTAGCACGTCCCCGGTACAGATCGATTCTCAATCGCAATAGAGAATCGTTATGAGCGATGGGCTGGGTAGGGTGAGTTACTTTGGGGAGGCACTTTTTCTGTACAAGAGCCGCAGGCCTATTTCCAATTGGAATGAAAATACCGAATAATCTATTTTCATTTGAGGCGCTTTGGGCCCGAAGCGCCGCACGCACGTTTCATTTATTTAAAAAAAAGGGAAAAGGTGCAAATAGGCCCATGTACTAACCAAAAAATGTCAAATAAGCCCTTATTTAGGAGGCTCTGTCCGGCCGTCGTCATTTGGGGTGATTCCCGGTGGAATTTTTTTATGATATTTTTAGAGCATCTTATTCATCAAGTATAGTTTACTCATACCAAATTTCAGCTAAAACTTCAATCGGGGAGACATTCAAATGAATTCTTGAAGATAACTGCTCTTCTAACTGCGCAGTTATTTTCAAGAATTCATTTGAATGCCTTCCCGATTGAAGTTTTAGCTGAAATTTGGTATGAGTAAACTAGACTTGATGAATAAGATGCTCAAAAAATTTTATCAAAATATTCCACCGGGAACCACCCTAAATGGCGACGACCGGACAGAACCTCCTAAATAAGGGCTTATTTGACATTTTTTGGTTAGTACATGGGCCTATTTGCACCTTTTCCCTAAAAAAAATGTAAACAAATTGATGGCGCTTTTGAGTAAGAAGCCTCGCAAGCAACATTAGTTTTTTAAATATAAAACTAATTCGGGAATATGTTAGAGGCGCTTTATCCTAAGAAGCGCCGCACGGTTTGGTAAAAAATATTAAAAAATAAAATTTTGACTAATAGAGGCGCTTTGGCTTAAAAGCGCCTTTAATGAAGCGCCTCTATTTGACGTTTTTCCACTAGCGTCGGCGAATACTTACCTGTTCCGCCGTTTACGAATTAGGACAGTAGTACCGTAGAGTTTTTAGTTTTGTGTTGGTGTCTAGGTGGGCGTATTAGTAGTCGTAGGATGTCTTTTTCTAACTTTTTGTGGGTATGGTGTCATCTATTGTTAAACGTTTAGTCTCTGTCTATTTTATAAGTGTCCAAATCTGATCTGGTCTGGTCTGATTTGGTCTGTTACTAAAAACAGTCCTGAATAAAACATATTAAAGGATGTTTTCTAAGTGTTTTAGTAAGAGACAAATTGAGTTTACACCCTAATTTATTTAATTAATAGACTTTGCACCCTCTTTATTTAATTACAAATCTGATCTGGTATGGTCATGGTCTGATTTGGTCTGTTACTGAAGACAGTCCTGAACAAAACATCATTAAAGGATGTTTTCTAAGTGTTTTAGTAAGAAACAATTTGAGTTTGCACCCTATTTTATTTAATTAATAGACTTTGCACCCTCTTTTTTTTTTGAAAGTCTGTGCACCCTCTTTTGAAAACAATTAATGTATGCACCCTACTTTATTTAACAAAAAGACATTGTTTTTATGGGAATCTGTTTATTAGAAAAACACAGTTTCACAAACACAGTTAATAAATAAATGAGCTCCTTATAGGATGTTCAATTTCAAAACACAATCCCGGGACCCTGAATACTTTAATTCAAATACTTTGGAATAAGTTGTGACAATCAAACTAGGAGTAATAATCACGCATAAAGATTAGGACTAACAACTCACTTTTGGTAATAGGGATGGTTCACAAATTAAATAAATATAACAACAAGGAACAAAACAAACTGATATGTATGTTATAAAACAGAAAGACAACATATATAAATACAAAAACTTTGAATTTGGCAATGCAGGTATATCTTGGTCCATTCAATCCGTTTTCATTATTTTATCCAGCAGCAAAATGAAGGTTGTAAGGAATATTTTGAGCACTAAATATCACTCAATTAATATTTTTTGGTCAGTAGCATGCATTACTAAATACACTTCTTTGTTTATAAATGGTTGAAAAAGATTGGGAGTATATAGTTTAGATTTCAATTGAAGCAATGAAATATTAATAATAACCGATTTTTTTAATTAGTAGTGGCATTAGACTTCTCCATTTCCTTTACAAATTGACATACGTTGTGGTCCATATGAGCACCGTAAAGGGGCCATAGTATTTGCTCACCAATTTTGTTCCGAGTCACGCGGCCCAAGAACACTTCTCTCTAGTCACTCCTTTACGTTGTGGCAGAGATCGAGCAGGGATCACTAGCAGAATCATCTAACCTCAATGCAGAAGAGCTTCAGTTTGCTGCAAACAGTTGCCACTGCAGGCGTTTTCTCGGCTGTTTCTTACTGGTAATTACTTTGTCATTGTTTATCAGTCATTCCATGTAATGCTTTTTGTGTTAATATTTTGTTTGTACATCTACTACAGGTATGGATTCATGTTCGGCAGAGAGTCATCTCGCCAGGAGCTGGAAGGGTTAATTGATAGGCTTCGCCGTGACAATGCCGATTTGGGTTCAAGTTCACCCCCTCCTTCGAGTTCTTGAACCTGGGGTAATGGCAATCAATTTGTAGTAAGAACTATGCTTGCTATGTTTTGGAACTTGAATAAAAACATTGTCATTTTTAATGTTTACTAGGTACATAATACACTGGCGGTTTGCTTAGCAAATTTGGAGGGTCATGATTTGATTTTGTCTTGCATTTTTCATAATGGGTTCAAGAATATATTTAAGGTTTTCATATTTTTTGGTAATTTTTGCTTGATTATTTGGACCTTTGATTACGTATCAGCCGTTAATGATTAATTTGACTAAAGCTAATGATAGTGTGGCTGACACTTGCTATGTTGCTGATATTGCTAAAGTCATAATCTTTCACAATTTCAGTCAAAGCAAAACCCTACACTGCTTCATTATCAGCTAAACATATAAATCAGTGTGTAGTAAAAGATTAGGCTGATTAGACAAAAAATAAATTGCTAGAAATTGCCTTGAATAGGAGTAAAAATGTTTCGAAATTCCAAAATAAGACCTTCATGTTTTATTGCCTGAATAGGAGTAATTTGTGTCAAGTTTGGAAAAAACTTGGCATAAGCTGCAATGTTTAAAGTCTGATAATGCCAAACTTGGCAGAAATTATTCCTATTTAGGGAATAAAAACATCAAGGTTGTATTTTAGAATTTCAAAACTTTTTTATTCCTATTTATGGAATTTCCCAAAAATTGCTATAGAACGCTGTGCAACTGAGTTCTTCCAACATTTGTTGTGCATTTGTTTGGAATGCTTTTACTTATCCTTATTTCATCACTTTCATGCAATTTATTAAAACAATATACCACGATTTTGTTTAAGAGAATGTACTTTGGTATCATCATCATAGCATTCATGTTTCCAACTATCCTGATGGAATTGCCACCTCATGTTAGGCTGTTCTGTTACTGACCAATGTTTGGTGAACAACAAGAGCATTTGGTGGTCATTTGTCGAACTTTGACTAGAAAACCAAGTTTTGATACTAAGATATTCCTTAAATCTCTCATCTAAAGCCTCCTTGTGTAGTCCGAGTAAACCTGAACTACAGTTGTAGCACTGCTAAAAAGAAAAACACAGCAAAGCTATAGACGTTTTGGGAACTTCAAGGATGGGTGATGTATTTATATAACTTATATTCGTGTATTTTTTCATAGACATGAATTGATTAGTTTTTTTCATGAATCATCGAAAGGATAACCAACATTGTCCATTCATCTATGAGAACTGTTTGGAATACACACTTTAGTTTCTGTACACGTTTCACACACTTGTTTGCGTACATAAATAACTTGCCTACAAAATAGAGGTTGTATACGCAAAGTGTACAAATTGTATACAAGTGGTTTTTTCCTTCATTTATGCCGCCTTAAATGTCGTTGGAAATATGTTATGGGTTGGAACATTATATCCGTAGTATATGTGATTCTTTACACTTAAAACGTTCTAGTTAGAGACAGAACCAAGAAGGGTTAGACTTTAGAGTGGTATAATATGAGGTATGACTTCTAAAAAATCAACAAAGCTATAGACGTTTTGGGAACTTCAAGGATGGGTGATGTTGGAAATTTTGTTATTTCAAATAAAGAAAATATTTTAAACAATTGTTTCACTCAAGTATTAAGTAACCGAAAGGAGAATTAACTTTTTACTTAATAGAGTGGAGCCAAAATAACATCTTGAACGGATGTTTTGTACTTGGTTGGCTATTGCACGTTACTAGGCTCACCATTAGTTACTCCTATTTATTAGGATCACCAACAGTCATATTATTCTCCTTTTAATGGGGAGGAAGGATCCCTTAATATGGGATGTACGTAGACTTTGTCTTCTTCGAGAAAAAGAAAAGAAAAACTACTCCATTGAAAATGTTTCCTGTACTAAGCTTGTGCTGGATTATAATTATGATTTTCCTCGTAGTTCTGGTTCCGACTATTTGTCGAAGGGCTCGTTTAATCCTGGAGGAAGATTCCGTTCACTGGAAATACTTTCAGAGGACAGCGTTTACGCGACTTGAGCTACGGTGTTTCTTGTTGTTATGTTTTGCAGGTTTTTATCTGTGTTGGCAGCACTAGTGCTTTGGACCTGCGGTAATATGAATAGAACAAGGTGCTGCTATGGAAGAACTGTAGAAGATGATACCCAGGAACTCCCATGCTGCCGCAAAATGCCGGAGATAGGTGGAGAAGCTCTTAGCCGGACAACCATCGTGTTCCCGTCGGCCAAAGTTGAACTGTCAGGAGCAAGTGAAGAGGACAAACCCCCAACAAACTCTGAAAGTAGGATCGGACAAGACTTGCTTGACGTTAACCTCAACAACAATCACGATGATGTTGACCCAATGGCTAGAACAATAATCTCTAGACAACGTTTGGCCAAATGCTTCTGTGGAGGTCTGCGAATTGGGGTAATTTTACTACTGACCATCATGTTGAGATATTTAACATTACGTTGCCTGCCAGCATTTGCCATGCCGTGTTCTCTACAATTTTTTGGACTCTCTTTGGTTATCCCATTCACAATAAACCTTAGTTTAATCCCATGTGTTATAATTTATATCATTTTATGTAATAAAAAGACAACTATGTAAACAATAACCCACTTAAATCAAAATTAAAATTGATTAAAAGTGATGAAAATTTTACTGCGGTTGTTTCTCAAAGCTGTAAAATAAATGATGTGAATGAATGGATGGTAGACTCCGGGGCTACCAAGCACATTTGTAAAAACAAAAGTGCGTTTACCTCCTTTAGTACTACTATGGGAGATGACGAAGAGCTCGTGTACCTAGCGGACTCAAAAACCGCAAAGGTGCACGGTAAAGGGAAAGTTCTTCTTGAACTCGCATCGGGGAAATCTTTATCACTAAATGATGTACTTTATGTGCCTGAGATTCGGACTAATTTAGTTTCTGTTTCTCTCTTGGTAAGAAGTCGGGATTAAAGTTTCTTTTGATTGTAACAAAATTGTTATGACCAAAAATGATGTTTTTGTGGGCAAAGGCTATTGTAAGAATGGATGTTATGTGCTTAGTGTTCCGAAATTAATGCGTGAAAATGCTTCTGCTTATTTGATTGATTCATATGATGTGTGGCATGCTAGATTAGGACATGTGACTGATACTTATATTAAATTGTTGAATGACTGTGGTTTGATTTCTAGTGGAAAGAAATTGACACTAGAAAAATGTGACATTTGTGTTGAATCAAAACAAACCAAAAATCATGTCCTACCACACATAGGGAATCAGAACTGCTTGAATTAATTCACACGGATTTAGGTGATTTAAAAAATACCATGACTAGAGGTGGTAATAAATTTTATGTCACCTTTATTGATGATCTTTCGAGATACACTAAAGTTTATTTGCTTAAAAGTAAAGATGAGGCTTTTGATAAATTTTTAGTGTATAAATCTGAGGTGGAAAATCAATTGAATAAGAAGATTAAGAGAGTGAGATCGGATAGAGGGGGCGAATATATTTTAATAAATGATTTTTGTGAGAGGGAAGGGATTATTCATGAGATAACTCCCCCGTATTCGCCTGAATCTAATGGAATAGCTGAAAGAAAAAATAGGACATTAAAAGAAATGATGAATGCTCTTTTAATTAGTTCTGGTGCTCCGATAATCTGTGGGGGGAGGCTATTCTTTCTGCTTGTCACTTAACAAAACAGAATTCCTTATAAGCATAATAAGAGAACACCCTATGAATTGTGGAAAGGTTATGCGCCTAATTTGAAATATTTGAAAGTGTGGGGGTGTTTGGCTAAAGTCTTATTGACTGATCCTAAGAAGAGGAAAATTGGTTCTAAGACATCTGATTGCATATTTATTGGTTATGCTGAATGTAGTGCTGCTTATAGATTTCTTGTTTTGAAAAGTGATGTGCTTAATTGCAATACTATTATTGAAACAAAAAATGCTGAATTTTTTGAGAGAGTGTTTCCTTTAAAACCAGAATACAAGACCGTTGCGCCATATCGGGAAAGTGAGCCATCAAAAGAAAGTAATACTTTTAATGATGAACCCTCTAATTTGAGAAGAAGTAAGAGGCCAAGAATAGAAAAATCTTTTGGAAATGATTTTTATACATATCTTGTTAATGATGAACCTTTTACTTATTCACAAGCTATTTCATCAAAAGAGGCTCCTTTTTGGCTTGAGGCAATTCAAAGTGAAATTGAATCTGTTCAGAAAAATAAAACTTGGATTTTAACTGATTTGCCTAATGGGTGCAAACCAATCGGATGTAAATGGATTTTTAAAAAGAAATTAAATCCGGATGGTTCAATTGACAAATATAAAGCGAGGCTTGTGGCAAAAGGATTTTCTCAAAAACAAGATGTTGATTATTTTGACACATTTGCACCGGTAACGCGTATTTCTTCTATACGAACTTTAATTGCCTTGGCTTCTATTCACAAACTTTTTATTCATCAAATGGATGTGAAAACTGCGTTTTTAAATGGTGAGCTAGAGGAAGAAATTTATATGGTGCAACCGGAGGGTCATGTGGTTATTGGTGAGGAACACAAAGTGTGTAAGTTGATCAAATCTTTATATGGTTTGAAACAAGCTCCAAAACAATGGAATGAAAAATTTGATGAAGTGTTATTAGCTCATGGTTTTACCTCACTTGAAGTAGATAAGTGTGTATACACTAAATGTGAAAATGGTGTGTGCATTATTATTTGCTTATATGTGGATGATATGTTAATTTTTAGTAGTAACCTTGAGTTAATAATTGAGACAAAATCCTTTCTTGCTTCAAAATTTGTTATGAAAGATTTGGGGGAAGCAAAAGTGATTTTGGGTATGAAAGTCATAAGGAAGGATGATGGTATTATACTATCTCAAGAGCATTATGCTGAAAAACTTCTAAAGAGGTTTGGACATTTCGATGTCAGCCCCATGAGCACCCCTTATGACTCTCATACACATTTGAAAAAACATAGAGGTGATCCCGAGGCTCAATATGAGTATTCCCAAATTATTGGAAGTTTATTACACTTGATGAATTATACGAGGCCCGACTTAGCTTATGCTGTCGGAAGATTGAGTCGATATACTCATAATCCAAGTGGGGATCACTGGACCGCGTTGAGGCGGTTACTCAAATATTTGAGAGGTACCATTAATTATGGTATATTTTATCGTGGGTTACCCGCTGTACTAGAGGGATACAGCGATGCTAACTGGGTCTCTGACTCAGATGAGATAAAATCCAATACTGGATATATATTCACCCTTGGAGGTGGTGCCATTACGTGGAAATCAACCAAACAAACTATAATTTCTAGATCCACTATGGAGTCCGAGCTTATTTCTTTGGAAGTAGCCTGTAGTGAAGCGGAGTGGTTGAAATCTTTCTTAGCAGAAATTCCGGTTGGTACAAAACCAATACCACCTGTGTCTATTCATTGTGATTGCAGAAGTGCAATAGATACTGCTAAGAAATTGTGTTATAATGGGAAGAATAGACACATTCGTTTAAGGCATAAAGTCGTTAAACGATTATTGAAGAATGGAATTATTTCCATTAATTTTGTGAGGTCAGAAGGAAATCTAGCGGATCCTTTGACTAAAGCCCTAGGACGAAAAAAGATAAGTCAAACCTCGAGGGAAATGGGACTAGTGTCACTTGATTACAAATAGGGATGGTAATCCAACTTGTGTGATTGGAGATCCCATGAAGCAAGTTCATATGGGTAATAACAAGTCTTCTATTTGTTCTGCTAGCCTTATCAAATGTCCCTTTATATGGTGTGGAAGGCTAGACTACATTCGTTGTGAGGCTGAGCTAAAACTCTTAATGATTTTCATAGCCCTTACGGGTGGTGTGCTAAGTGCAGAACACACTTGATGAGATCACCTATATGAGTGTGAGGTGGGGCCGCCTCCATGAAGCCTTGACAACGCTTCTAGAGCACTCACGAACACCAGGCACGCGCACGGCCGAAATGCGCAACACGGCGTTAACGCGAGGAAGTGTGCGGGGTGAGACATGGCCATTAAGACCCTGATTTACCATAATAGCTTTCTTGGTTCATAGAAACTATACGTTTCACCAAAAGCTCGGTTTATAAAGACTTAATCGTCTCGGTTTGGTTCATAGTCTACGGACACCAAACTTAAAGTCTCATTCCTTTAATCCAGCATATTTTCTTAAATATTTAAAATATGTTTATTTGAAATATGTGGGGGATTGTTGGAAATTTTGTTATTTCAAATAAAGAAAATATTTTAAAAAATTGTTTCACTCAAGTATTAAGTAACCGAAAGGAGAATTAACTTTTTACTTAATAGAGTGGAGCCAAAATAACATCTTGAACGGATGTTTTGTACTTGGTTGGCTATTGCACGTTACTAGGCTCACCATTAGTTACTCCTATTTATTAGGATCACCAACAGTCATATTATTCTCCTTTTAATGGGGAGGAAGGATCCCTTAATATGGGATGTACGTAGACTTTGTCTTCTTCGAGAAAAAGAAAAGAAAAACTACTCCATTGAAAATGTTTCATGTACTAAGCTTGTGCTGGATTATAATTATGATTTTCCTCGTAGTTCTGGTTCCGACTATTTGTCGAAGGGCTCGTTTAATCCTGGAGGAAGATTTCCGTTCACTGGAAATACTTTCAGAGGACAGCGTTTACGCGACTTGAGCTACGGTGTTTCTTGTTGTTATGTTTTGCAGGTTTTTATCTGTGTTGGCAGCACTAGTGCTTTGGACCTGCGGTAATATGAATAGAACAAGGTGCTACTATGGAAGAACTGTAGAAGATGATACCCAGGAACTCCCATGCCGCCGCAAAATGTCGGAGATAGGTGGAGAAGCTCTTAGCCGGACAACCATCGTGTTCCCGTCGGCCAAAGTTGAACTGTCAGGAGCAAGTGAAGAGGACAAACCCCCAACAGGTGATGTATTTATATAACTTATATTCGTGTATTTTTTCATATTAAGCTTATGAGGGATTAAGTTTATGAGTCACACCATGAAACTTTGGGAGCGAGTGATTGAGCAAAGACTTCGAAGGCCTGCTCGATCTCTGCCACAACGTAAAGGAGTGACTAGAGAGAAGTGTTCTTGGGCCGCGTGACTCGGAACAAAATTGGTGAGCAAATACTATGGCCCCGATTAGGGCTGGACTCGGGCCGGGCGGCCTGACCCGGAACCGACCCGGCCCGCCCACTGTAGCAACCGGCCCGCCCCGGCCCGGTGGCCCGGTCCACCAGCGGTTCGGGTCGAACCGGCCCGGTGGATACCGGTTCCGGGCCCTCCATTTGGTGAACCGGCCCGGCCGGTTCGGGCCCGGTCCGGGCCGGAATTATTTTTTTTTTTTGAAGTTTTTTAAGTTTTGGGTTGGATTAGGTATTTTGGGCCATTTGAGGTGGTTTGGGGTTGAGGGGGAGGGTTAGGGGTTAAATAAAAGAAGCCAAAAAAAAAAAAAAAAACCGGGTGAACCGGCCCGGCCTGGCCCGGAACCGGACCCGGAACCGCCCACCCCCGATTCGGGCTCGGGCCTCATATTTCTGAACCGAGGCCCGGCCGGGCCCAGGCCCGAACCGGCCTGGTTTAGTCCAGCCCTAGCCCCGATCATGACTAACCACCGTAAAGGGTTTATCATCATCATTTTCTTGCTCATGACAGACGATGTGGTCCATATTCTCCATTTTTATTTATGAAGATTAACTCATTTGAAAACACGATAAAAACTACAAAAATCATTAGCACAATATTGTTGTGTAGTAAATGTGATTCAAATAAGTCAAAAAGTAGGTAATGGAAACAAATGTAAATCAAACCTTAGAAATAATACTAAGTTTTTTGGAATTCCGTGAAGTGGACAACATAATATTTATCTGGAAAATTGCCTTCTGCATTTTTCAAGTGCTTAGAGACAAACTGCTTAATGAAAAATGTTCACAGATGTTTTTAGGGCTTAAGAGACAAACTACAGTTTTTATATTCCCTGCAATTTTTTATATAAACATCTGCGAATTATGTTATCTGGATTCTTGCTCTTTTCAACCATCTTCTAACTTCGTTGGGTTTGTATTAAAAACTGTTCAAATTAATTAATGAAAAAGAATTGCTTAAATTCAAATTGTGAATTGTGCCTGCCTTCTAAAAACAGTTAATCTATCGTTGTTTTCATGTTTTCGTTTGATCATGCAGGAATTATTGATGATATTGTACTAACCTCATGTGGAACGTAACTAGAGAAAAAAAATGGATTTCTACATTTATTGCTCGTTCGTGCGTAGGTTTTCTGGAGGGCCAGGGTTTCGTTCCTCCTCCCAGTGCGTTTCTGTGAGGTTTGCGCCAGGCTCGCATACTAATCCCAGGGGATTAGTCGATTAAACGATCGTTAGGCATTGGTAAGGGTAATTAAGAGATTTGATTTATTTTAATTATTCCTATTTAATTTAGTGGCTGTGTTTAGTAAAAAGGGGTCGTGAATAGAAACACCCTTCATCAAAAGCACAATCAAACGTCAATCCAGCAATTCAACCAACAATGCAAAGAAAACTCAAAACAGTTTGCGGCCCAACCACTCCCCATTCCTAGACATTTCATTAAAAACAGCCATCATGCTTTTCGTATCCGCGCCGCACCAGCTCAAAAAACAAACTGACGTGTTGACCAAGACCTGTGATATGCCAACATCCTTGTCGGTCATCATACCCAGCCGGCAAGCCAGCCACCCCGCCTGGTTCCGGCGACGCCCGACGGTTCCGGTGGAACGGAAGTAGGAGAAAACCACGCACCAGCCAGAAGGAACCAAAATCAAGTAGATTTTAGCCATAACAATTCCAATGAGTATTCCGATCTCCGTCTCCAGCGACACCATCTCGACCAAAATAAATATGCGAACACATTTTTAATCCCCCGGCAGAACCTTCCGCCTGTACCTAAACTTTGAGTTTTCTGATCAGCTTCTCCGGGTAACAACATAAATAACAACATTAAGGCACAGAAAACATAGACGTACGCACCATGAAAACCACTCTGCCGAGAGTGAGGCAGTAAATGAGTGGGCTGATTTCTCACCGAGAGCCCGAGAACGTAGTATCCTGTTTTCTTTCCAGGTGAGGTTTCAAAATTAGGAACGATTTCCTTAAGCAACTTTGACCTCACTTCTCCTTGGTTTCTTTGGCTCCGATGAAGCACCTTGTCGGCAAAACAAATTTCCTCATGACAACTGGAAAGGAATCAAAGAAATCAAGAGCAACAGTTTGTCAATGGAATAGCATGGAGGTACCTTTTATTTGACCTGTTGATTTTGCCGGCGAATTGATTTTGTGGCAATAGGCAATCGGCAATCACCTAATGTCTGTTTCCCTGCTCCAGCCTCCTCAGGCCCTCCATGGACTGTCAATCGGCAATCACCTAATGTCTCTCTAACTCTCTATGCTTTGAGACTTGCTCTTCTCTAAAGTTCAGCTTATGAAATGCCAAACTCACTGTCGTTTCTCATCTTTTTAGAAGACAGAAGTAGCCTAATTACTCAGAGTTCCAATGCAATGCATTACGCTCCTATGCTACTGTGGCACAACTTTTAATAGACTTCACATGCACTTTGTTAACCACCGGATCCTCTATTAACTTCTGGACATTTTAGTGTCATTGGTGGACTGACTTTTTGACCCATGATTGAGACGCAGGATTATTGGCCAACATTCCACTTCGTTTTGTATATTATAAGATAAGATATTTTCTTGGAAAAATTCACATTAATAATCCGAACTATTAACGATCTTCTCATATTAATCCCAAACAGGGGCGGAACCAGAACAAAAAGTAAGGGGTGGCTAAAAGTATTATCAAATGCAAAAATATAAATTGTAATTAAAGTTTACAGAATATAAAAATTGTGAGAAGAGTACATTACATTACAATTAATAGTTAGAAGAAGAAACCAAAATTTAGACAATTGTGTGCGGCGTGTCTCCATATGTTGAAAACGTTGCAAAATTGATTCATTATCAATTTTAGCAAATATTTTCTTCTCCATGTATATACATGACCAATCGGTCTCTCATAAAACAATTATAATCTTTGATTGGTTTACGTAATTCAGGATCAGACACAACATCATTTGGATCAAATTCGGCACGAGAATGTTTTTTTTCTATTTCTTTCTTCGTTATTCCGTCTAGAAGACCCAACGCCTCGTGTTACAAATTGTAAAATAGACATGATCACATGAGTAACCTAACAAGTTAAAAATGCTTTCAACTTTAAATTCTTGAAGAGTTAAACCATTTAATCAATTAAAATTTAAAGCAGGTAAAGCCATAAAAGTAATTAATCAAAAAATTGCATAAACAATTTAAACTTTATACCAATTCAAGCAATTAAAGTGAATAATCAATACAATTGCCAAAGAATTTAAATTCTAAAGTAATTAATTAATTAATTCAATTTTAAGTTTTTCATAAGTAATTAAAGCAAATAAGCATTAAGCAATTAAAATAATTAAAAGAAATTTCAATTTTAAAAGTAATTACCAAAAGGTCCAAAGCCAAAGTACGCAACTGGCTAAACCGTGGCCGCCTAAACGCGAATCGGAAGTCAGAGTTCCGGCTTCTCACTTCTATATCGAAGAAACATGGCAGCGTCTGACGGCGACTCTGCGGGGAAGAAGGAGGGACTACGGTGTGCGCCCTGCGGATTATCAAACGAAGTTGCGATTTGCGAAGGCGCCAGGCAGGATTGCGGCTCTTCTTTGAAGCACGAGGATGAGGTCTGGACGGGAACGGAAGGTCAAACACTCAAAAGTTATAAGTTTAGGGCCAAACGACGTCGTTTTTTATTTTACTGTGCACTTATCCAAACGACCTCGTTTGGCGGATTGTTTTAATTAAAAAAAATTGTTGCACGTCATATCTTCTCTGGTTCGCTGCATCTTGCACCGCAGGTCCGCAAGTCTCCTCAAGGAAGAAGATGAAGTCCATCGGGGGCGGCACTCTAAATACCTAATCCTAGTAGTAAAAAAACTCCGGCGAAGGGGTGGCGCGGGCACCGGCTCGCTCCCCCCTAGTTCCGCCCCTGATCCCAAATATGTGTAATTTCAAAATAATCCAAAGTTGATGGGTAATCTTCTCATGTTGATCCTAGGTCACTTACTACTTACTAAACAGGTAAAAAATTAAAAAGAAAAAAGAAAAAAAAGGAAGGAATGTAAACGGATAGATCAGCCACTCAGGTAACTCACTCAACCCTATGCCTGTACCTCTATTCATCTTACATTCTTACCCATTTCTTATTCTTTACTTCGTATTCCATTCACATGCAATCGACGGACATGAGGGCATCACACTGTAGAGGAAAAAGAGTTGTTAGCATGGCTTGGACTGTATACATGGTTTCTGGATCAAGGTTTGCGCTTTCCATGGATTATTCTCCCCTGTTCTTTTCTTTCCCTCTCTCTACCGCACATGGATATATCCTTCTCACTTTGAACTTCATTTTTTATTTGGGGTTTGCGACCATACTCAAATTTGTACTTCTTTCTTTTAATTTCAGATTCGGAAAAGTTAATTTGAACAATTCAAACTCAAATTTGACATGGTTCATCATGGACAATGACAAAAATTGGATGACAGTCGACCTACGAATCATGGAAACTAGCCCAGCTTGGATGACCGGGAGGATGGCGACGTTGGGATGGATGGAGGGCCGGCGACAAAGTACAACTGGGTGAAGGAGAGTATTTTGATGAATCCCAAAAGAATAAGGTGGGGAGGAGTAGTGCAGATCGGAAGAAGAAGAAGAAAGGGGGTAGACGGGGAGCGGCGAGCTGATCCAAAGATCGAGAGGAGGGACCGAGGGAGCTGCAGTTTTGAGGAAAGAAATAAAAAGAAAAGAAGTGAAAGCAAAAAATGAAAATGTATTAAGGCCAATCAGAATTAGACACATGGATAGGTGACCTGATGACCTGATTCATTCCGGTTACCGGTTCATTTTGAGAAGATACCCCTTGTAAATTGGATTATATTGGAATTACTTATATTTGGGATTATTGTTGGAAGAACCTCAATAGGTGGGATTAATGATGTGAATTTTTCCTATTTTCTTTGAAACCCCACATATACTCCGATCATTACTCATATCATTGATATCACCTTGATCATATACTAAAAATATCATATAAATATCATTGAAACCCGACATATACTCGGAGTATCATATACTAAAAATATCATTGATATAAATAATCTATTAGAATAAATGAGTAATGATCAAGGGAAATAAATCAAATATATCTAATGTATAGCTAGAATTGCCAATGATCTAATATCCAAGTCACTCATTTATGCTTGTGTGGAAAGCCTTTAAGGTATTGTTGTCGTAAAAAACCCTACGCCCTAATTTATTGTTGCTATATTTATTACAGTGTACTACGGAAATACTCCCGTGACCCGTCGGCCGTTGCTTCTTTCACCGGAGCTCCGTAGCTTTCCCTTGGTTTTACCCGTGTTAGTGATTTCCAGAACCAGGTATCTTTCGTTACACTAGATCTTGATTTTCCTAAACAAGGGCGGTCCTGTGTCTTTTAAGGCACGAAATTTTCATGAACTTGTTTATTATATACCAAGTATAAAGTCATAATAAAGAAAATAATTACTCTCTAATTGAGATTATTTTTCTAAAAACAATACCTGATATATAATCCAAGGATAGTGGACAAAATTATATTTAAGTTTTACCTCGTACTAATTATAAAAGAATATATACTTATTTACTTGACTCACATTATTACAGGGAGGAAGCGCCTATTCCAGTGCAATGGAGGAAGCACCTTTACCAGTCGAAGGAGAACAGAACATATTGGTGACGAGTGCTCTCCCTTATGTGAATAATGAGCCTCATCTGGGGAATGTAATCGGCTCAGTTCTCAGTGCCGACGTGTATGCACGTTTCTGTCGTCTGAGACGCTATAACGTCTTGTACGTTTGTGGTAATGACGAATACGGGACGACCACAGAACGCAAAGCAAAAGAGGAGAAGTTGACGCCCCCGGAGATCTGCGAAAAATACCGGAAATTGCACAGGGAGACTTATGAGTGGTTCAACATTCGTTTCGACCACTTTGGTCGAACATCTACACCTCAACATACTGAGGTTTGCCAAGATGTGTTCAGCTCTCTGTATCGCAACAATCATTTGAAAGAGGATACACTTGAACATGTTTTCCTTTATATATCCATCTCTACACTTTTTCACTGTTTTTAGCTTGTTATTGGGTTAAACCTGCTTATTAACGGTATCGGGGGGGGGGGGGGGGGGTGAGAGTGTAGGAGAGAAAAAAAATATCTGTAGTAACTATGGTTGTATAGAGATGTTTGGATAATTTTGCATTCACATGATTCAGAAGTCAATTGAGATTCAAGTGGCTGAGATTTGGCTATGTGCTGGTGTATAACTGCCTTTCGCTTACACTGGTTTTGTTTGTAATTGCTATCAGCAAGACAACAACCTAGTTTTTATTATAACACTACTATGTCTTTAAATTGCCTTTTGATTTATCAATGTCTCAATTCATTCTCAGTTTCTCACCCGTTTGGCAATGATTTTTTTTGCTGAATGTTTTCACCAAAATTGACAATTAATTTTGGCCAAATAAGTAAGTGAGAGGCAACTTATTGGGCTGATAAGCAGAATAAGCCGAATCAGGATAGTAAGCAGGCTATAGAAGAAGGCTTGTGTGGCATTCATAGTTATCTAGTCATTATTCACAGGGCCTAATCTTTTTTAAATGTGTAATCATTTGATGCCTTGGATGGACTCTTTAGTAATTAGAAGTAGTAATGCGTGTTTTTTCTTTGTCAGTTGTATTGTGAGGTCTGCCCGACGTTCTTGGCAGATAGTCTCGTAGAAGGTCATTGCCCGCACTGCCACAAGTCATGTAAAAGAGATCAATGCGAGCATTGTGGTAAATTTTTGAATGCTCGGGAGTTACTAAACCCTGTCTGCATGGTATTTTTTATTTTCCCTTCCTTTTGATATATCAAATTTTACGATCCCACATTTCTCCTTACCGATTTAATCACCTAACTTCATATGGGCAGATTTGTGGGAGTTCAAGTGCAACCCTTCGCAACACAGACCATCTTTTTCTACAGGTTGATCCTCTAAAGGGGCGTCTGCAAGACCTATTCAAAAAGATGGAAATATCCAACCAACAAGCAGTAACTGATACGCAAAATATTCTCAACAATAAAATGCCACCAAAGTGCATCACTCGCGATCTTACCTGGGGTGTTCCTGTTCCTGTGGAAAAATTCAAAGAGAAGGTATATCCTATACTGATTGATTGTGGTTTTCTTAGTTGAATTGTTTTATTAATTGTATAGTTCACGTATATTTACGTCCTGTATATGTAAACTCCCTCTGTAACAAAGAGTCATGTCTGTTTTTTGTCCAGAAAAACTGATTTCATCAAGCTAGCCTAATTTTTCTTATAATTTGCTAAATATTTGTCAAAAGGCTGCAAACAATTCTATTAATTAATAACCCCTCCGTCCCACAATTAAGTTCCCAGTTTCACTTTTTGGGTCAAGCTTCAAAAACTTTGACCATTAATCATTCATAATTTAAATTTACATTATTTTATGCTACAAAATTAATTTTATATACTTCACTGGAATTCTTACTATTCAAATATTAATTTATATTAGATTTTATAAGTATAAATTTTTAGATATTTAGGGTCAAACGTTCACCTAAAAGACCGTAAAAGTCAAACTGGGAACTTAATTGGGGGACGGAGGGAGTATAATACATTTTTTTAAGCCAATACACAATTTTTAAAATAAAAATGTGATTTCATGACTTTTAATAGTTGTACTTTGACAAAAATGAATACTTGACCACCAAACAGGACTACTACTTTTCCTGGACAAGGGAGATTTAATTTTTTCTACATAATTGTCTCTTTTTTCTACATACTAGGTGATGTACGTATGGTTTGATGCCCCAATTGGTTATGCTTCCATCACCAAGTGTCTCACATCCAAATGGGAATTGTGGTGGAAAAACCCTCAGAATGTGGAGCTACACTTATTCATGGGGAAAGACAATGTCCCTTTTCATTCGGTATAAGCATTCTAGATTTCACTTCCATTTACACTTTTATATATTATTATCTCATCACAAAAGTATACCTTTGAGAGGAATTGACTAACTGGTCAACTGTTGCTTCAGGTGTTATTCCCTGCATACCTTATTGGTACTGGGGAAAATTGGACGCTTCCTCATTCTATCCACTCCACACATTTTCTTTTATTTGGAAAAGGTTCCATCTTGACTCATGTGATGTTTTCCTAAATCATTTGCTTGCAACATCTATAAGAAGTTCCTAACTTCTTTTAACTGAAATGCCCAATGCAGATAAATTTTCAAAGAGCAAGGGTGTTGGTGTTTTTGGTAAGGATTTGAAGCAATCAAAGAAACCTGTAGATGCGTGGAGATATTATCTACTATCCGTTAGACTGGAGGTGAGAATCTTAGTTTAATTGTGATGCCTCCCTTTTTACTTTTTGTTTACTTGCAAAGAAACAAAGGTACACGTAGTCGAAGCATAAGGATAATTTGCTAGTTTAATTGATGGTGAGATTCATTTTAAGGGAAATGACTCAACGTTTTCTTGGGATGACTTGCACGCAAAATTCAACAATGAGCTTATCAATAATTTGGGCAACCTCATCAATCGCGTGCTCACCTTTGTTGCTAAGCCACCTGGTAAAGTAGCTCTAGCTCCTTTTGCCTTTTATATCCTATAACATTGTCTATTTCTTTGAAAAGCGTGATTGAACATTTTCTGTGCATTATTATCTGTCTCTTTTGTTTTTCTCTGGCGTCTTGAAATGCCCCAAATCCTAATGATGATTGGGTGGAACAACAAAAAAATTAGGAGAGGTTACCCCAATAACGATTTTCTATTAATTTACCAAAAAGAATCAAAAAGATTTGTTTAACTTGTTCTTTTCATTAAACTGGTGTAAGTATTTGCTTCATGTAGATAAGTGTAAGTGCTGCTTCTCAACCTAGCTTATTCAATAATTTTATTGATGAAAGTAGAGTGGACAACTAAAAAATAACTGATCTTACAATACAATACAATGACATTCTTATGCAAGCTTTTAGTGTGGTGAGTAGGGTGGGAGTGGGGGGTCTCTATATTATAGCATTCTCACTTTTTTTTTTTAAATTGCATCCACAGGCGCAGGATATGACTCCATTATTCCTGATGTGTTAGAAGATGTTGTGCTTGATGAGGTGGATTTGGAGTTTGTTGCTAACCTTACACTCTATGTGCAGGAATATGTTAAGGCTATGGAGAAGGTAAGCTTTGTCTTCTCCCTTCTTCCCTCAAGTAGTTGTGTAGAAGCTTGTCTCGCCTGATGTTTTTTTGCTGTTCTTCTACCTTAAATGTATAGGCTAAGTTGAAGGATGGTCTAAAGGCTACAATGGCTATTGCTATCGAGGGAAATCGGTATTTCCAGGTAATCTAGCAATTTTGGCAATTCTTTTCTTCACTGCGGTGTATTTGAATACCGAAAAATGCTAGAAAGGGGGGTGGGGGTGGGGTGGTGAAGAAAGTTATTTTCTTAAGTTTGGCGCTTGGGGAATCGGTATTTGTGTTTGGTTTACTTCGGAAATCCCAATGAAAATGAAATATGGTTATTTTTATTGTAACCCCTCCCCCAAGATTCTGTTTTCTTTAAATTATCTCCTCTATTACCTCTTGTATGAGCTGTGTTTCCAACCGACCGTAGCTGGTCATCATGTCCATATTTGAAACAAAGGTTTACATTAAAATTGTTTACTTTTTCAGTAACATGAGGTCAAACTTTTTAATTATCACAAGGTTTTGTATCCGTTTAAAACGGTCTTGTTACTTATTTTCCATTACCAACTGATGTTTTCTTGTTGTTGCCACAATCGTTCTGTAGAAAACTGCAGTGTGGAAGCTATTTAATGAAGACAGGTTGAGGTGTTCATTTGTGATTAAAACTTTGGTTGGAGTTGTTCGCGTTCTGGCATGCTTGTTCCAACCATTCATGCCATCTTGTTCGAAAGAGGTATAAATCTTTTTGCGTGTACGCGGCTTTGTCTTCTAAAGTGGTTTAACCTCTTTGTTTTTTCTTTGTCCACTACTTAAATAAAAATGTGGAGTAATTTGAACATGTGATGGGTTATTAGGTATTGAACCAACTTGCGCTAGGAGCCAATGGGTTTAGTCTGCGTGAAGATGACATTGCAAGGATTGAAAAGCCATGGGATATTGTTCCTAGTGGCCATAAAATAGGGAAGCCAAATCCTTTGTTTAAAAAAGTTGTGTAATACTTTCGGCATTGTTATTTAATTCTTTCATCATTTTTGAGTAGCTAGCATCCTCAACCTCCAAATCAAGAGGAAATGTTATTTTTATTACTTATTAAAGGCTTAAAGCATGCTTATAAATTTTGTTTCATATTTATAGAGGCATATAAAAAGTAGCGAGTACAATTATAATAGACATTACTCCAAACATAAAATGAGATGTGCGTGGCTAAGCCGCTAAGGTGTAAAAATTGAATTAATTTTAGAGTACCAAACTTGTTTGTTACTCTCTCTCTATATAGCAAATATTTGATACGGAGTATTAAAGTTGTTCGTTAAATCCCTCTATAAGTCTGTCTATAGCAAATATCTTGGAAAGTGTTCCTCATTTGATCAGACACATTTTTTTCCTTACAGTCACCAAGACTGTAAAAGCACGATTTATTTGGTGGCGGTGGAGTGGAAAATGATTTTAATTATGATTTATCCGAAATATTAAAAGAAATGTTGGTTTAAACGATTAAGAACCCATTTAGAATAATTAATGTATTTCAATATTGAGACACGATAGAGAGAGGCAGACGCGAGAAAACCCTTGCGATCTCCATCGGTGTATCTCCGCCGTAGGTGGTGTTTTGGTTCCTAGACTGGTCTAGGTCTGTTGGACGGGCGGCACCGCACTTTCATCGATGCTTGGGAGTCCCGATTTTGCTAGTGTTACTCCTGGTGTGAAGATCGAATCGAGGAAGGCCTGGGTCTTGGAGGTTGGTGTCGCAGATCGAGAGCTTTTCATAGTGTTGAGGCGCAGCCCCAATTCCCTTCTAGATCGGTGATTCCTGTAAGGCTTGTGTGATCTCAAACCTGTGGCAGACTGTTCGCATCTCGGAGGTTTTTGGGCGAATCTCAATTGCAGCACAGGGGAGATGATAGGGATCTGGAGACTGTTCGCGTTTGGAGTTGTGCTTGTGCGATATTTTGGCCAAGAGATGGAGGCGGATCATGGGCAGATCAGGGTGCTGAAAGAAGAAGAAGAAGAAGAAGAAGAAGAAGAAGAAGAAGAAGAAGAAGAAGAAGAAGAAGAAGAAGAAGAAGAAGAAGAAGAAGAAGAAGAAGAAGAAGAAGAAGAAGAAGAAGAAGAAGAAGAAGAAGAAGAAGGGATGAAGATCCATCCACCTCTTGAACCGCCACCAGGCTGGAAATGGGTGACTAGGGGTCGGAACACCGCGCTGGAAGATTGGGTTCAGCTGCTCAATAAGTTTATCCTGCTTAAATTTATTCTTCCCATTTTTAGTCTGTTTACTAAGAAATTCAGAGCTATCGTTTTGTTTTTGGTTCTTGCTTACGGTAATAGGCTTTTTACGTTGTCTGAGGGTTCGGCTAGACTTGATATTGTTAGTGGGGGATGTATCTATTCGTTCAGCTATAGCTGCATTAAGCCCGTCTGGTGGTTAGCGATTCGTATTGCTCCTTTAGGGGTGATCGTTTCTATGTTTAATCGTAGGGCCGAAAGTAGTAGTTGGAAGGTGATCGAATGTTGGTGTCAATTCTGTTCATGTTGAGTTTGATGTAACGATCCTGAATCTAATGATATCAATATAGTCGTTTTCCTTTCAAAAGAAAAACCCATTTAGAAAAAACTAAAATTACCTTGAGTGTTTTGAAAATGTAAATAAATTAGATGAACGACAAACATAATTGAATTAGCTGAATTTACAATTTTTTTTGTAGAAAGCTAAAGATATGTGTATGGAAAATTTTAGTGTACACAAATTGTACACAAAATCTCCCTAATTGCCTGTGTATGCAGGTAATGTACACATTTTGTGTACATCTTGTGTACACCAAGAATGGTTCTATCTGCATACTACGTACTCCGTATAATATAACACAATATTAGTATAACAAGATTTGAAGAAAAATTGTTGTACAAAAAGACTCAATTTGAAATCGACTATAGATCAAAATTGATCCTCGTCTGCACTACACATTTCGCGACAAATCATTAACTAAATTAGTGAGAGTTTAGAATAGAAAATTTTGATCCTTCATACGGAGATTTGTACTTTGTAGAGATCAAATCAAGCCAAATAAAAACTATGTATGGGTTTCTCTTAAACCATTATTAATAAAAAAAATCTATACACAAAAGTGTACGTGATTATAAATTATTATATACTCACTACTATACGATGCAATATATGAAAACAATTATAATCACTATAGTTATTGGAGTCATATTTATGTTCATTACTTTTGTTTTTAATTATATATTTGAAATTATTTCAATCAATAAATATGAATCTGCTTTGGGACAAGTCATTAAATTAAATCAGCAAAAGTTTGTAGAATATGTGAAAGTAATAAACAGGCTTAACCAGACTGGTAGCCCTGAGAGTATATTTATAATGAGTAAGTTGCCAAATACAATTAGGAAACTAACTAATAATTGATTTTACACTATTACACCCCCTCAATCTATGCAGGAGGAACTATGCGTAGATTGTCACGTAAAAACAAGAACTGCTGAGAAGCCAAGCTCTTGGTGAAAATATCAGCTAGCTGGAACTTCGTAGGAACATACTGTACGACAAGATCACCATGAGCCACACGTTCTCGAACAAAATGATAATCAATATCAATGTGCTTGCTACGAGCATGCTGGATTGGATTCGCAGATAAATATGAAGCAGAGACATTATCACATAACAGACGAACCGGTCGATGAATAGGAAAGCCAAGCTCGAATAAAATAGAACGAATGTGTAATGTATCCTGGACTGTGTACGCAATGGCTCTGTATTCAGCTTCTGTAGAGGATCTTGAAACAGTGGGTTGTTTCTTGGACTTCCAAGAGATTAAATTTGGACCAAGAAAAACAGCAAATCCAGATGTGGAACGACTACTATCAGGACAACCAGCCCAATCAGCATCAGAATATGCTGTAACAGAGTGCGGATGAGCGGACTTCTGTAGATGTAAACCGTGAGTAATCGTGCCTTGAAGATACCTGAAAATTCTCTTAACAGCCAACATATGTGAAGTACGAGGAGCATGCATAAACTGAGAAACCAAGTGAACAGCATATGTAATATCAGGTCTAGTCATAGTCAAATACTGCAATGCACCTACCATACTACGATACTCGGTGGCATCAGCAAGTAACTCACCATCAGTGAGAGACAACTTAGTTTTGCTAGGTAATGGCGTGCGAACCGACTTAAGAGTATGAAGATGAAAACGGGTGAGAAGATCTGACACATATTTGGCCTGAGATAAAAATAAACCAGAAGAATTTCGCACAGCCTGAACCCCCAAGAAAAAATGAAGATCCCCTAAATCTTTCATAGCAAAATATTTCCCTAAAAGAGAAATAAAATTACTAATAAGAGTAGAAGAATTTCCAGTAATAATAATATCATCCACATACAATAACAAATATATGAGTCGAGTAGCCTGACGAAATATGAACAAAGAATTATCAGCACGACTACACACAAACCCATGAGTCAATAGAAAACTACTGAACCGATGAAACCAAGCACGGGGAGCTTGTTTGAGACCATAAATTGCCTTGCGCAGACGACAAATATGATTAGGAAACTGAGGATGAATGAAGCCAGGAGGTTGACGCATATAAACCTCTTCAGTGAGATTACCATGAAGAAAAGCATTTTTAACATCCAACTGACGAATAGGCCAATTATAGGAAATAGCTAAAGTTAAGACAATACGAACAGTGGTGGGTTTGACAACAGGACTAAAGGTTTCAGAGAAATCAACCCCAGCTTGCTGCTTAAAACCTTGGGCAACCAGACGTGCTTTATGTCGTTCAACAGAACCATCAGAACGATATTTAGTTTTATAAACCCATTTAGACCCAACCACATTTTTACCGGAGGTAAACGGCACTAATTCCCATGTGTTATTAGCAATAAGGGCATTAAATTCCTCAGCCATTGCAGCTCTCCATTTAAGATCTTTATTAGCCATAGAAAAGCAAGTCGGGTCAGGAATTAAAACCGCAGTATTTAAATTAAAAATTGTTTTTGGTTTAAAAATTCCTGACTTAGACCGTGTTTGCATGGGATGATGATTTTGAATGATAGCAGTTTCGGAGTCGTGTACATTACCACCCTCGGTGCTGATCCGAGACGAGGAGCCCAGCCCGACAGAACTGTCCGACACCCGCCACCACCGGGGTCACACTTCCAGACCGAAGGTCAGGCGCAGAGGTGGCGGACGAAGTAGGCTGCTGCCGCGGAGTAGCCGACGTGCTGGCCCGCTGAACAGCAGTATCCATGGCTGGTACGAGGTCCACCGATGGTGGAGATGCACATGTGTCCGAATGAAAATCCTCCGGGGGCAATGACGTAGCAGTAGCAGGCGGCACTGGTGTGGAAGGACGAAATAAAGAGAGTGAACAGGACGGAAGAGAACCGGACGCTGAAGACTGAGAAGTGACTAAGTTGGAGTAAGGAAAAATATTTTCATGAAACCGGACATGACGACTAATATAAATTTTTTCAGTCCGAGGATCAAGACAACGATACCCCTTATACTCATTAGCATATCCTAGAAAAACACACTGAACAGAACGAGGAGAGAGTTTATTGGCTGAAGTGGCAGTAAAATTAGGATAACACACACACCCAAAAACACGCATAAAAGAGAAGTCAGGAGACTGGTGAAATAATTTTTGATATGGAGAAAAACCAGTAAATTTTGTGGAGGGTAAGCGATTAATAATATAAGCAGCGGTCAAAATAGCTTCAACCCAAAAAGTGGCGGGCAGATTAGCATCAATTAGCATGGTTCGCGCTAACTCAAGTAAATGACGATGCTTACGTTCAACTAAACCATTCTGTTGAGGAGTGTCAGGACAAGATTTTCTAAAAAGAATTCCATTACTAGTAAAAAATGAGCGCATACTTAAATTATCAAACTCACCCCCTCCATCACTTTGAAAAATTTTAATTTTATGATCCAATAAATTTTCCACCAGACTCTTGAAAGATTTAAAATGAGTAAAGACTTCACTTTTACGACGCATGGGATATATCCAAGTAAAACGAGAAAAATCATCAATAAATGAAACATAATACTTAAAGCCAGAGGAAGATAAAATCGGTGACTGCCAAACATCAGAATGTATTAAAAATAAAGGT